TAACGCAAATAATTGTTGCAAATATGTTCTCTCACTTTATATTATGTGTTATTATATAATTACACGAATAAAATATTATTATATTGTGTTATTATAAATATTAGCATGTCTATTTATTTATTTTAAAGTCTCAGTAAGATAATAGGATACACAAACATTATTTGACCAGGTTTGTAAGTTTCTCTAAATATATATTTCTGTAGTACCTGTACTGTATCTGTTATGTAATATTAATAAGTAATATGAGATTCATATTTATTCTTTGAGGCAATTATCACAATATATTATATCTTATATTAAATGTATGCAAATTGATCCAACAGTATAACCATATTATAAATATTTATATCATAGAGTATTAGTTGTCTGAGCTGTTAGTTAGTCTAGTGAGTCTGCTTAAATTGCAATATACGTGAATGTTGTAAAGTAGTTGACTGAACATGTTCAATTGGGATAATACGGATGTCTGGCATTTATATTTAAATGCATTTTCATTCAATCAAAAACTGTTGTTTCGAAAAAGCCTTTCCACTAATTTTCAAGGTTTTATGTAATGTATTGTCTATTTATGTAAATATACTGTCATTGCTATGGCTTTATGGACACAAATCATAAATTTTAGCAAAGTTTAAGTCTTCTTAAACAAAACCCCAATTTTTAGGTCAATTAATAAACTGATTATATTTGAGCGCAAACTAATAGTTATCGAAGTAATGGATTACTTGTTGTCAAACATTCAATTCATTGTATTCAGTAATCAGATCACAGCCAACGGCACTATCAATGCCTATGATATATGAGCTAAAAATATAAGCATTTTGTTTCTTTGCATACAATATATGTTTTATTAAGTCAATTAATTAAATTTTAAGTACGAAACCAATTTATAAACACTTAATATTATCGTAAATATCTTTGATAAGAGTGCAAAACAAGTGTGAACGTAAAGTTAACGTAAAGTTTAACTTTAATAAGTCAATTTGAATGTATGTTATATTAAATATTTGCTAAATAATGAATACAAATGAAAATAATATTCCGATAGTAAGTAAAATACGAGATATGCTTATTCATAGCATAACTATAACACCATTTCAGTCAACAGTTATCTGTTATATCAACACATGATTATATGTCTTAAATAATTGTCAGAATTTAATTTTTTGATTATTTTGTTTGAATTGTTTGAAAAAACCTTCAATTTTTGCTGATTTCGAGCACAAGTAGTCGATTGTATACAATATATAAATATAAATGAATATAACTATTAAAACAACACAATTACCGAATATCCTTGAAATAAATTAGTAAATAACACAATAGACGACCGATTAGAGAGAGAGAGAGAGAGAGAGAGAGAGAGAGAGAGTCTAAAAAATAAATATAAATACTAGAAACTAATGATTAATTCAGAGATGATTTTGCAAAATATTTAGTGATTTAAAAGAAAACATTTCAAAAATAATCAACAAATGGTCTATTGATAAAAAATATGCCACTATTTTACCACAATTAATTTGTATCGAAAATTACAAAACTATTTTCTATTTGCTGTGATTAGTGGTATGTATTTCTCTTCACGCCTCAACTCTTTTGATGATATCTTGTATTTTGTGACAAAGCATTTATTTATTGGTTATTTAAATACCATTTTATTTCTAATTATTATATATTTCTACCCTTTGTTAAAATAATAGTCGTTTCGTTACACCTGTGCCACACATATGAAGAGACATTATTAAACAAATATATTTTGTGTTATAAAGTTGTTGTGAATACAGTTTAATGACATCAGAAATAATGACAGATTCCGGAGATTTTGTGACCAAAATAATTAAGAGACCATTCATTCCGTTTTGGGAATTAATTGAACCGACGGTTGATATCAACACTTGTGTTATCGTGAAGGGAAGAGTTCCCCGTTTTGCCAATCAGTTTGCCTTTAATTTTATTGTCGGCAAAGAAATCAGTAATTTTGCCCGAAATTCATCGGATATCGCGTTTCAGTTCAGTCCCCGGTTTGAAGACGAGGGCGTTGTCGTCACAAACGCCAGAATCGATGGCCACTGGGGTCTGGAGGACAGGAATAGAAAGGACTTCCCTTTCGCCAGAATTAGTTGGTTTGAAGTGAAGTTTGTATTCAAGGAGTCATACATTAAGATATACGTCGATAACATCGATGTCGGACTCTTTATACACAGAATTCCCTTTCAATTCATTGGAATATTCAGTATTGAAGGCGACGTCGAAGTGGAGTCTGTGGTCGTGTCCAGAGATAAGCAAAATCATGTTAAAAGTGATCGCAAAATAAAACATAAAATGATAACCAATGGAGAGACAAATGGAGTAAAAGATTTGCAAATAACAAATGAAACTCAAATTAAACAAGAAATTGATCACAATTTAAATGTTTATACAAATCAACACTCAATTGTGAGTAATATAGTTCTCACACAGAAGACTATATACAACCCTCCCGTCCCCTTCTGCGAGCCTGTATTCAATTGCCTCAAGAATGGTATGACTGTTACCATCAATGGGCAGACATTTTCCTCGCCGAAAGACTTGATCGTTCGGCTCCAATGGCCGCCCTCTGCCACTCAGCGCCCGGATGTGGCCATCAGTTTGAATGTAATGTTTGATGCGAAGCAAGTGATCCGCAAATGCCGAGTGAATGGCCGGTGGCTTAAGGAGGAGAAAGAGATCGATTACTTTCCGTTCAAAAGTCAACAATATTTTGAACTAAAATTGGAAATCAAAGAAAACCGATTCGTTATATCATTTATACCGTTAGCAAACCGACTTATATTCAGAGTATAAGGGCTGATATCATACCGATTATACGAACTCTAACTCCCTCTCTAAGTAGAGAAAATACAGTTTAAACTACGGAGCGTTCAGTTAACTCATAATGATTTTAATTATTATGTTTGATTTGCATTATTTCTTTGTAGTAATTATATAAGAATTACATATATTTAGTGCATTGATTTAGTTTACATCAATCAAGATGTAAAATATAAACTCTAATACTTTTAAAACATTATTTAAACTTTTTAAATAAGTTGTATTTAATTTTTAATCATTGTTTAGGACATTAAACAATTTATTAAAAGCAAATTTTATTTTTAAATATATGTTATCAGTAATATTACCCAAATTCTGTACTTAATATATAATTAATTCAATTTTAAACACATATAAAATTATAATGTATTAAATATCAAAGCAATTCCCATGTACTGCACAGTAGCTTCAAACTTATAAATATTAATAAATGTATTTATACTTACACTACAATAGTTTAACATATTTGGCAGCATTACATTTCGTAAACAAACACCTAATGAATCTAGATCAAATATTTGAAAGTTTTATTTAATTAACGTATTTTTGTATTATTTTGTATTAATTATAGGATATATAAAATGTATATTAATTATAATGAAAACTTTCCTATTGTTTTGTATATGTTTTGTGTAAATACTGTAGAAGTTTCATAACACAGTATACGGTTAAATAGTATTAGAAACTAATTAGCAAATCAGTTGTGATCCCATTATTGATGTCATTGCTCGCAATCGGATCATTAAATATAATTTATACGATTAGACCTTCAATTAGAAATGGCAATACATTTAAATTTACTGAATAATTTCAATTTGAAATGCAATTGAAATGCAAGTGTGAACAAAACGTGAGAATAGTTTCTATAAATGCTATTATAATTCACAAATATTTAACCAAAGCATGAATTTTAAATTAATTAACTGAATTTAAAACATATATTGTATGCAAAGAAACAAAATGCTTATATTTTTAGCTCATATATCATAGGCATTGATAGTGCCTTTGGCTGTGATCTGATTACTGAATACAATGAATTGAATGTTTGACAACAAGTAATCCATTACTTCAATAACTATTAATTTGTACTCAAATATAATCAGTTTATTAATTGACCTAAAAATTGAGGTTTCGTTTAAGAAGACTTAAACTTTGCTAAAATTTGTGATTTGTGTCCATAAAGCCATAGCAATGACAGTATATTTACATAAATAGACAATACATTACATAAAACCTTGAAAATTAGTGGAAAGGCTTTTTCGAAACAACAGTTTTTGATTGAAATTCAATCATTGAATGAAAATGCATTTAAATATAAATGCCAGACATCCGTATTATCCCAATTGAACATGTTCAGTCAACTACTTTACAACGTTCACGTATATCGCAATTTAAGCAGTCAGACCTAGACAACAGCTCAGACAACTAATTCTCTATGATATAAATATTTATAATATGATTATACTGTTGGATCAATTTGCATACATTTAACATAACATATAATATATTGTGATAATTGCCTCAACGAATAAATATGAATCTCATATTACTTATTAATATTACATAACAGATACAGTACAGGTACTACAGAAATATATATTTAGAAAAACTTACAAACCTGGTCAAATAATTTGTGTGCATCCTATTATTTTAATAAGACTAAAATAAATAAATAAACATGCTAATATTTATAATAACACAATATAATAATATTTTATTCGTATAATTATATAATAACACATAATATAAAGTGAGAGAACATATTTGCAACAATTATTTGCGTTACATATTCAGCATTTCATATTCAGTTATTTTAGTGATTTACAGTTATATTATATAAATTATATATAAAAATAAATGTAACTCTTTTATAAATCTGTTTTAATTAATTAATGTTTACAAACAGTTAAATAATTTAATTAATAGTTTAATTAATATCCATAAATTTATCAAACTGAACAAGGTTAAAGAATATTATTATAATATTCTGTATTCAAAGTATTTTAACCATATATTCTGTTCAATAAGGGGTGCAAAACACGTTTAGCTAATAATAGTCAGACATTATTGATGTATAAAATACACTTAAAAACACATTGAGTTCAATCTATAGGTGACATTTGTAGACAAAAAGCGTAGAAAAGCACACAAAACGTCAACAATAAAGTACGGATTGAATAAACTCCACGTTTTCCTATTGTGGTCGGCATTGAGTGAAAAGTGAGAGACAATTGCAAATCAAGTGATCAGTGGATCGGTTGTTGAGCTGAAGAGCGGATCACAAGTGCAGTCATTTCGCACCGAAGATGGTGTCCATCGTATCGCAAGTGGACACAAGTCATGACGATATGATACACGACGCGCAGATGGACTACTATGGGACCCGATTGGCCACCTGTTCCTCAGACAATACCGTCAAGATCTTCGAGTTGGCTAATGGGCAGCAGAAACTGTTGACCACTCTTATCGGCCATACGGGACCCGTTTGGCAGTTGGGTTGGGCTCATCCCAAGTACGCCAACCTTCTGGCCTCCTGTAGCTATGATAAGCGTGTCTTCATCTGGAAGGAGGTGTCCGCCAATCACTGGGAACGGGTCTACGAACACCTCAACCACGACTCCAGCGTTAACTCTGTCTGTTGGGCGCCTCAAGAGTTCGGTCTTATGCTGGTCTGCGGCTCGTCCGACGGCTCCATCTCTGTCCTCTCGAGTCAAGGTTTGTATTGATTTGGTTTGTGATGATTGGCTTTAATGGCCGCCACACACGACACGTGTGTTTGTGTGGTGTGTCTGTTGAGTGCATTTACCTTTACTCTAACGCTTCCCATAAGTGAGTCTTAGAGTCAGATAAAGTGCAGAAAGTGATGGCCGATAATTAGTCGCCTTCGAGTTGTCCTCTTAATTATAACTTGAAGTGAAACTAATTCTCACATTTGATTTGTCACTCATTACAGGCGATGGCATTTGGGACGCGAAGAAGATCAGTAACGCCCACTCTATCGGGTGTAATGCCGTGAGTTGGGCGCCGGCCATACCTGTGTTGGCCGCGGGCGGCGGTCAGGACGGGTCGAGTCGCCAACTGGTGAAGCGGTTTGTTTCGGGCGGTTGTGATAATTTGGTGAAGATTTGGAAGTTTGACGAATCGGAAGAGAAGTGGACAGAAGAGCAGCGACTGGAGGCCCACTCGGATTGGGTGCGAGACGTGGCGTGGGCTCCGAGTATAGGCCTCCCGAAGAGCTATATCGCCAGCTGTTCTCAGGACCGACGGGTCATCATTTGGACGAATACTATGGACGGACCGAACTCTTCGAACTGGAGTTATAAGATATTGCATACGTTTGATGATGTCGTTTGGCACGTCTCGTGGTCAGTGATGGCCAACATTCTGGCCGTTTCTGGCGGTGACAACAAAGTGAGTCTCTGGAAGGAGAACTTCGACACCAATTGGATTTGCATAAGCGATATGACCGGCAATAAGAATAACTGATCCCATACTCTAATCACATGGTATTTGTTCCGTTAGTCTTTGAGTGTATTCTTCGTCACTCAATTGTATCTCATTTGTCATCTGATTGTATATCAACTCAAGTGTCTGCCAATGGCTTTGATTGGCGTTTAATTGATTTACAAAATGTTGAGTAAATTTATTGAATCATTCAATAGTTTTAATGTAAATGTAATATAATTTTTAATAACTTATAATAAGCGAGAAATGCGTTGAAATACATAAAGAACTTAATTAATAAATTTGTATTGATTTCATTTGTACCGCACTTTTAAACAATTACTGTTAAAATAAAACTAATTTTAAATGGTATTTAAATTGTCAATTAACTGACCCTTTGGTTGAGTCGACCATCTCTTCATATGCCGTGAACTGTACTGTGGATGAGCCGCGACCGCCACTGCGAGTCGTGACGATAATATCACCCAAACCTTTACAAAGAGGCGATCGGCTGATGATCTTCTGTGAGCTCAACCATTCGCTATACATAAGACATTCGACACCGCAGATGGTCAGAGAGATGAGGTCTTCTTGGGATTTGCCTAAGTTTTGGCCCCTAATCGTGACTCTAGTTCCCGGCGGCCCATACTTTGGCGACAGACCCGTCGTCTTCGGCGACTGACCACTCATTGTCGTTGTGGGCGAGTCTTTCAAACGGTCTTCAATCAATACTTCGGGACCAAAACAACGATTGAATGGACGACTTGTTGTGTGACAACACTTCGAGGCGTTTGTTTGAACGCTTTGTTTGTCCAGCGATTGATTGCATCGATTGTGACATAACTTTATTAAACAATTTAATCACTTTTTAGTGCACGTAATGTATGGCTCGTTATAAGAGGATTACATAACAAATAGGTTTCGTTTGTTTACAAAACGCCTTTCAATTGATTACAAAGTGTTTGACATTTAATGTGAAGTATATTTTGATTGAATGAATGGATGATAATTGACAAGTGATTGACAAGTGATGGCATTTCTTCAGGTAATTCATGGCATTCACATTGAATACAACTAATGCTTGCATTCGTCGTCAAAACAGTGGCGAAGATTCAACTTCTTTGACAAACAGATCCTTAAAGAGGAGACCAATCCATTGCATGAGTTGTTCACTGTATGTATTGATCCATTGTTTGTATCTTTGACGCCAATAAACCATCGATGACTATCTGTTTGATCCGATGGACAGAAAACAAAGATCACGTGCTCGAGCTCTGGCGGCTCTCACGTGATTCTGGGCGACAATAATGGTTGGATCCATATTATGGACCGACAGCTGGAGTACACGTCGTTCTTGGCCTACAAGGATGTGGTCAGTCATTGCCATCAAGTGATCTCTTCGCCATATCTGGTGACAGTGGGTGTGGACGAGACGGGCAGCGATCCGGCGGTGAAGATATGGAATCGCGAGAAACTGAACTCAGACGGAGTGCCCCATTGCTGTCGTGTCATACGACTGGCCACCGGACAGGAGGACCCGTCGCCGGTGACCGCCATCGACGTGTTGGACACAATGATGATGTGCATCGGCTTCGGCAACGGAAAGCTAATGATTCTTCGCGGAGACATCACTCGCGACAAGAATTGCAAACACAAAACAATACCCATCTCTTCCAACGCTATCACTGGTCTCTCGTTTAAGAACAACTCTTTGCACAATATTAAGACACATCACAAACAGATTGTTCTCTTCATTTCGACCACAAAAGAGATAATGAGTTATAACCTAACCGTTAGGGATAAGGAGATGCGCTCAACGCTTGACAATTTTGGCTGCAATCCCGGCTGTTGTTGTCTGAAGAGTGATCCCAAACAACTGGAAGCCCTTTATATCATTGGCCGAAAGGATGCCATATATTTCTATCAAAGCGACGAACGCGGGCCGTGTCTGGCCTTTGAAGGCGAGAAACTACTGCTCTATTGGTACAGAAGTTATCTCATAGTGATTGGCAAAGAGTCTGCAATGAATGCCGCCATTAGTGGTGAGAAATTATCGTCGAATGGAACCGAAAACATGAATATAATCACAATTTATGACATTTCGCGCAAATTCATCGCCTATTCGTCGCCGATTCCATCGGTATGTCATGTGTTCGGCGAATGGGGTTCACTATATCTGATCACAAACGATGATCGAGTCGTGTATCTCAAAGAACGTGACACTCAGACCAAACTCGAGATGCTCTTCAAGAAGAGTCAGTTCTCGTTGGCCATAGAGTTGGCGAAGAGTCAACAGTACGACTCCGACGCCCTGTCGGACATCTTTAAACAATATGGCGATCACTTGTACCGTAAGGGCGATCACGACGCGGCCATCGCTCAGTACATCCACACCATTGGGCGACTGGAAGCGAGTTATGTGATCCGCAAATTCCTCGACGCCCAACGTATCCACAATCTGACCGCATATCTGCAGGCATTGCATCGCAAGGGTTTGGCCAACGAAGACCACACCACTCTTCTCATCAATTGTTATGTCAAACTGAAGGACAAGACAAAACTGGACCAATTCCTCAAGAGTGACGAATGCGACACAAATATACTGCAATACGACGTGGAGATCGCCATCAAAGTGCTCCGACAGGCGGGCTATTACGACAACGCCCTGTATTTGGCGCGAAGACACAAACGCAACGACTCTTTCCTCAAAATCATTTTGGAGGACAAATGCGACGCAAACGCAGCCATCGATTACATGACACGAATGGAGTGGACGGAAGTGACCCAATATATGAAGAGATACGGACGCCTTCTCATCCACGAAGAACCCGATAAGACAACACTTCTACTCAAAAAGCTTTGCACTGATTATAAACCATCGGACGGTTAGTATTGACTCTCTTTGTCGTGATTTCCGATTGATTTCATTATATTTTGTCATTATTTTTAGACCATTTGAGTGAAGACGACGTGACCGCAGGTATTATGGATTTGATGTTTTAGCTCTGCATTTCTTAATCCATTTGATTGTTTAAAGGCTTAGACGTATTGTCCGGCAATACAGCGAACAACAGATCAAATCCCGAAGAGTTTATTCACATATTTGTGAAAAACACTCCAAAACTGATAGAATTCTTGGAATTTATGGCCGAAACTCGTGAGGAAGACTGCTCTCCCGAAGTGCACAACACTTTACTCGAACTCTATTTGCAGTCCTATAAGAACGAGATTAAAGAAGACGTGAGTTTGAGTTTTGTTGACATTTATTATCACATGTTTTAAATGATAAGTGTTTTGTCGAAACGAAGGGTTTGGCGATTAAAGAGAGCCAAATATTGAAGCTATTGAAGAGCGGGAAAGCGAAGTACGAGTTGGAACAGGCGATGGTGTTGTGCCAAATGAGTCACTTCGACGCCGGACTCCTATATCTCTACGAAAAGGCAAAAATGTTTAAACAGATTCTCAACTATTTTATTGCGAGCAAAGACTCGACTAAAGTGTTGGAGACGTGCGAAAGGTATGGCAACGACGAGACCAACCTATGGGTCGACGCTCTCTGGTATTTCTCCAAGACTGATGATAACGACCGCACGATTCAAGTGTTGAATGGTTTGTCACTCTTATTGTGCGAATATTGTGTTGGATTTATTTGTTTTAAATTAAAAATGTTATCAATTTTGCAGAAATAGAGAGAAGACGTTTACTTCAGCCCATAATGATTATTGAGATACTGTCGCGAAGTGAATGCGCGACTCTCGCTGTGGTGAAGGATTACCTGATCCGATGGTTAACTCGAGAGAGCGAACAAATAGCCGAAAACGAGAGACTTATTGATCAGTTCAAAGACGACACCGAAAAGATGCGCCAACAGATTGAGGACATGAAGAACAGCCCTAAAGTATTTCAAGCGACCAAATGTAGCGCATGTAAGCATCCGTTGGAATTGCCGTCCGTTCACTTCATGTGCAATCATTCCTATCATCAGCACTGCTTCGAGAGCTACACAGCGGAGAACGACTCCGACTGTCCGCTCTGTTTACCAGAGAATCGGTTTGTTTTCATTGTTTTTGATTTTGTATTTTATTTGCGATTATTTTGATTCTTATAACAAGTATTTCAATGATTGTAATTTGAATAGAAAAATCTTGAATCAAATCCAATCGCTTGAGAACAACAAGAATGTGAATGAAATGTTTGAAAAGCAAATTCAAGAAACCGATGATTGCTTTAGTCTGATATCCGATTACTTCAGTCAAGGGATCTTTAATAGAGTAACACTCGTGACAGACGACGGCATCTTACAGTCCGGTCCATCCAATGCAAGGCCTAAATCATTGAATTTGGTTCAAAATAAGTAAATCTATTATTGATTTTGTTATTATTATCAAATAAACAGTCATTATTTTATATTTTAATTATATTGACATTTGTTTTAATTAAATGAATTATTTATTTTATTTGGAAACGATTTGATATGAAATAAACAATACATGTATTAATATTTGATTAAAGAAAGTTTACAAATTTAGAAATTTTTTAAATTTTTGTATACATTTTTGGTAATTCATATATTTTTAAACTTCAAATTTAAATAAACAATTAAATAATGTGTAAATATTTAAGTTATAACTACAATTTGGTGCTTATGTTTTTAATGTAACCCATAATACTTATGCCAAGAACTTGATAAGCTATTTGAGATAATATTTTAAAAGTTATAGTAAATGCACTCTTAAGAGCAATTGATATAATTCAGCAAATATTTAAAAATTTATTTCAATTACGATTAATAACTAATCATTAGTTTATATCATTAAAAATATTTTTATCAGCTTTTAATGTGAAGTGTTTGTCGAGTGTGTTATTCGTTATCTAAAAAGAGACCTCAGATTTATAATCATTTTTCTTATTAAAACAAATAAATCCAACACAATATTCACACAATAAGAGTGACAAACCATTCAACACTTGAATCGTGCGGTCGTTATCATCA